TGAGATTGGGGTCTGGGGAGTTTGGAGGCCGGTTCAGTGGCTCTTCGTCATGTTTGTTTAGCTGTTTGTGAGTAGTTTGTACAGCGTGGCAGGTGCATTGTCCTTCTGAGGGAGGCCACTGGGAATGTAGGGTGTGTGCTTGAAGTAACACCCACATGGACGCTAGGACCCAAGGTTTCCCTGCAGAGCATTGTGCCTATATGATCCGTGTTATTTACTTGACCTGTCAGTGGTTTTAATGTTGTGGCTGTTGTGTCTGTCGTTCTCCATCTCGGTGAAACACAGCAGCACTATCTGCATTCAATCCAGCCTTGTAATCAAACTGATTTACTCTTGTGATGACAGCAGAGTGGGCTTATCTAGTTGAGTGGACAGAAAACCTGGCATGCAACATAAAATCTACATCAGGTACTATGATGTACAGTCCAAGTTTCCGCTTTAATGTGCTTGAAAGTGTAGGCAAATGGGCACAACATAAAATGAGTTCAGGTTGGTTTACTCGTCACTAAATCCCCGATTCCTCACTCTTTACTCTGACACCAGAGTCTGATATAACTTCCTCTCGATTTGAGAATATCCTTCACTGTCCTCCCTCTCACCGCTGACTCCTGACAGCTGACTATTCACTGTGACATCTGACATACGGCTCCTGGCATCTGATCCGCATCCAGAAGTGCACTTAGAACCTATTTTTGAATATTGCTCGCATCCAGAATGAAAACGAGGAACTAGAACTGCCCAGGTTGACTGTTTAATTGCCGTATGGACGCCCTTCTTCAGCATATGTATTAGCAAACTGTGAAATATACTAGTAATTGTCTCTCTCTTGCAAAGCATAGAATACCTGAGGTCTGTGGCTGGTTGTCGGACTGTTCCTGTTGAGGTGGGATCCAGATACACAGATGAAGATTGGTCACAGACGCTGCTTACGGTCAACGAATTCATTGACAGATACATTTTAAATAAAGTAAGTGCATCCTCTTGACTTGCATTCTGAACAAAGAAAGAGAATACACAATGTGACTTCTAAGGCCGTGTTTTGATTTTAATTTGCTCTGCACATCGCCCAGGATGAAGGCAAAGCTTTGGGTTATCTGGCTCAGCACCAGCTTTTTGATCAGGTATGCTTTTGTGTTTTACTTTTTGCAATTACAGGATGATTATAAAAATAACGATATAATCACTTTTGCCAGTTTACTAATTTATTATTCAGATGACATTTTCAGCACAGTGAAGAGTGGGATTCTTTTTGTTCCATCTGTCATCCTCGCACCACATTGCTTTGAACAATATTGACTTTTTAGCCCTAATTTTACCCTAGAAGTCAATGCGTCGTCTGGATTGAACTTTCCAAAAAGGGCACGTTGTCAGGCTAAAAGGTGGTTATTTTGGGCTGTTTGATAGATAAGAATGAGGCCGAGCATAGGGGGCCGTCACTCACCCTGATTTTCCACGCTACATCATCATCCTTCACAATCAGCTGTTTATTTTTATGCACTGAGGACTTTATAATGTCATGTTACTAAGTGAAAAAGACAAAGTGGATGTGTTCCTTGAGATAATCAACATGGCTGAATTAAGACGATGTTTTTGGGGATAGTTGTGTGACTCTAATCGTACAGTGAACTGTACATAATGGTGCATACTATGACCTGGATGATAGTTGCTGGTATTAAATTAGCACGTACTGGCAGAGAAGAGGTCAGATATGTACATCCATATAGTAAAAGTTGCCTTACAAACAGCACAGAATTCAACACACATATCTATAGGGCTGAGTGGCATTTAAAGTAAATCTAATAACTGAATAGATGTTAACAAGGCTAAGAGTTTACAACCGTGCTAGTGGCTCTGTGAAGCTCTGCAGTGATAGTTAATTAAAAACAAAACAAGTCAGTCCCACGGTGACGCTACAGCAGATGAGAGCAAAGGGATCACTAAGTAGGTTTCATTTTTCTCGGTGACGATGATTCTCGTCACCAAATATCATGACAATCCTTCCAGTTGTTGTTAATGTGTTTCAATCTGAGCCAAAATGCAAAAAAAAAAATCAAATAAACAAGACAAATAATTAGAAATTCCTTTTACTTGTTGGAAAATATTACAGTCAGAAGCAAATATTTAATAAGCAACATTAGTCTTCAGTGCCTTATTACTGTTGTTATTGTTTGATGTTCCCTCAGATACCAGAACTAAAGGAAGACATCCGCCTCCCTGATTATTGCTGCCTCGGCGAAGGAGATGAGGACAATATTACTGTGAATGCGTGGTTCGGGCCCGGGGGCACCGTGTCTCCTCTTCACCAAGATCCTCAGCAGAACTTCCTGGCTCAGGTGACTTTAACAACACTGCTTTATGAATCTAGTTAATGTCAAAGATCTGTCACGCCATCACTTTCTGTTTACCGCATGGGATTTCCTCCCCCCCTCTCCCTCCCCCCTCTCCTGTATATATATACGTCAGGTGGTGGGAAGCAAGTATATTCGCCTATATTCCCCAGAGGACACAGACAAGTTGTACCCTCATCAATCACAGCTGCTTCACAATACCAGTCAGGTGGGATTGACAGTCCGTAGAGATAGCACATGTTGAACCTGCAAATATATGCAGTATTTCCAATTTCTGACTCCTTCCATGCAGGTGGAGGTGGAGAATCCAGACACCGAGCGCTTCCCGGAGTTTGCCAAAGCCCCGTATCTCGAATGCATGTTACAGCCCGGAGACGTGCTGTTCATCCCCGTCCGACACTGGCATTACGTCCGATCCCTTCAACTCAGCTTCTCTGTCAGCTTCTGGTGGTCATGATTGCAAATTCCCAATAAAAGATATGTATATTTTCTGTAGAATAAAACTCGACTTGATTTCTGTTGCCGTGGCAGGAAATCCATCCCGAGTTTTTAACTAATGTGAGGCTAATTCTCACAATTGCTAGGACAACTGCTGATCACACAAACCTTTGATCCATGAACAATGAACACACACTGCTGAATGATTAGTTTAATTGCGCTTCTGATGATTGAAACAACATCTATTGTGTGGAAAGCTACCAGCGGCACAAAAAAAAACAAATGAGCAGTTAAAACTGTTTGTGTTCATTTCATTCTGCAAATAATTTACAGAGCATTGTTAGTCATCTAATTTAATACGATATGTTTCTCTTTTCAAATCGGCAACCTTATTCCTACAAATATCCTCAGATGTGTGATTTCCATATTTCATGGAAATGAAGCAAGTCTTCAGATTTAATAACCGGTTTAGCTACAGGTACAGAAACGCGGTAATAAACACAGCTCTCAGGTTAAACTGACAGTCTGAGCCAATCAAGCAGGTCACAAATAAAAATTAATGAGTGAATTAATCCCCTGGGTATAGACAGACTTTGAAATTAAAACCGTCTCATTGGTTAAGACAGCACAACTCTTGTCTAGCACCGAAAACCGCGACGCTTGACTACAAAGACGGCATTTCAGATTTCAGACCTCTGACAAAGCCCCAGTCGTGCATCCCGTAGGTCCATTTTAATCAAGCCTGCTTATTTGCAAATATGATGCGAGGATGTGACAAAATTGAGCAGATCAGTCCTAATGTGCACATTTGATCTGCTTTTCAGTCAGACTCGCAGTCTGATAAAGTTAGTGTTTTGGGAAATCAAGGCTGTGTGAGGCAGGTGGAGCTTTCATAAAACACTGCACCTAAAAAAAAGAAGAACAAAGTGTACATTTCTTTCTCCAATTTAGGAAAAGATGAGTGGAAATGACTAAATAATAACAGTCTGTGGCACAAGGAAGTGGCTCCAATGACTGATTTCGCTCCAAATGTAAGACATTCTATACTGTGGCATTTTGTGATTTTTAAAAAAGAAAATACAAATAGCAACAGAGATTGCACTCAAGCTGCAGCATGGATTAAAGAAGAAATTCAAATCAATTTTCATGTTCCAGCATCGAACTGAGTTTGTTAGACCACACAAATAATGTCAAAGTTAAATATTATTGTTAAAGAGGCAAAGCAGTCCTACTTCATCTCATGCTATTATATGTTTAAATTGTATATTTTAATGTTTAATTAAAGATTATTTATAGCAGCTGATTAGCACGGATGGACAAGAAGCATATTTTATTTGTAGTGCATCATTTATCGTCCATAAAATGCAGTTTTTAAATGTCAAAACCCAGCAAACATTTCAGATTATGAACCACTAAGTGCCTTCAAACCCTCCTTTTTTTCCCCCCCACCTCTATGTTTCTGTAAGAACAGGTGGCTTAACAAACAGCTCATGCATTATTAAACGTGCCAGTGTTCAGATAATAGACTTATCCAAACCTAGTTACTGTCCTTACAAGGTTATCTCTCCAAGCTCTATAATATGAACCCTGCCAGGATTTAACTCTGTGAGTAAATGCTGTATGCTTCACTTAGCTGTTCAGTGCTTTGTTGTTGTCAAGTAAGTGGCACAATTGACTTAAGATCACACAAAACTGCTTACTCTCATTATAATGTAATCAATACTCAATTACCAGTGAAGTAATGTGGGACCTCTGGGCCTGTAACCCTTTTCTATTAAACTTAGACCTTGCCTGCGCCTTTTTTTTTGATTAATGGGGTCATTGATTTTCACATAAATCGGGCAAATTAGGATTAAGTCCGTTAGATTTATCTTGCGGTGCGAGACGGTGTCATCTGGATGTAGAAGTTTTTGGTAAGGATGAGGCAGAAACCTCTCAAATCTGAAGCGCAGATCAAGATTGTGTGGATCAGTCAGCGGAGTTGCTCTTTAAGGGCACATTGTCAAAGGTGTTGGATGATCGGAACAAATGTAAAATACAAGCTTGGCTTCTCTGTTTCTCAGATTTACAGGTCAAATGAAACTTAATCAATACTCACGACCGCAGTAAATGTTCCTTGCATCAATATTTATCCATCGATGAAAGCTTTTCTCAGTGACTGTTTGCATTCACGCCATCTGAGCTGCATGATTATTACAAAACACGGTACAGATGTTGGCTCGTCAATGAAATCACAAAGTGCAAAATGCATAAAACTTTATTCATCAAAGATTCACAAAACTAAAGGAAAAACACCGACATTAATATGCAAAATTTACAACAACAAAAAAAGAGTAATGATTGTCAGGCATCAATTAGTATATTCTAGTCTTATCACTTTAAACGTTCTAGTAGCAGTCTAGTAGAAAAATGTTAAAGATTGACTAAGACCGGAAGTACAATCCAGGCTGATTGACAACAACGTAATACTATACAAAGGTTTTCTTAAAGGCAGCTTGTTGTGGCATCACGTTAAAGTATTCTGTGCGCAAATGTTTTCCAAAATGTATATGACCTTTAGTGCATAATAACAGACATTTAAAAATAAAACCTCATGAAATAAAAAGATGTAGAAGTGGTTTTCCGACAGCCTCGCCTCCTCCCAAAAAAAGTGTCTGTCCCAGAAAAACAATCAACTCTGAAATGGAAAATGTCTTCTTTCTAATATTCCTGTAAATCTAAAGTGAGGTTCTGCATCCGCTCCACCACGAAGAAGCAGAGAGTTCCAGCGAAGCCCAGGATGACCATCAGGAGGAGCTGCCACATCAGCAGGAGGTAGCCGCTGTAGAAGAACGCCACTGCTGCAAAGATGGACTGACAAGAGACGCAAGAGTTGACAATGAGGAGGATGAAGTTGCTCCTACAGCATCAGCGAACTACTGACCTTGAACTATAGGAAGTGAGACTTTGATATAACTGACTGATCTCAAAGCACTACACCAGGGGTGTCAAACTCTGGCCCGCGGGCCAAATTTGGCCCGCTTTGCAATTATATTTGGCCCACGAGACAATACCAAATGACTACTAGAGCTGCCCCGGTATTATACTGTACAGCGCATTCACCGCTAATACTACAAATCCCATAATGCCCTGTTGTTGTTTTGGCACGTCAATCAGGACAGGACCCAGAAACTCCCTCTCCTCTGTGACAGTAGGCA